CCCGGGGGTCTAACGGGACTTCCAGCAGCAAAAGGGAGCTTTCAAAGTTGTCCTGCCCCTCGGTGACCCCACCAAAACAAAGCCCGTGTTTTTCTGTGGTCATCTGGCATGCAAGGCAGGGAGAATGAGCCGTGGAGATGAGTGCTGGGGTGGTTGGTGCTCCTGCTGCAGCCAGGGAGGTGGCGGGGAGAGGAGGGACCAGGTTCAGGTCAGGGTGAGGGTTCAACCTCTCAGCTGTGACAAGACCCTTTTTAAATGAATGAAACCAACTTGTCTGTTGATTAACGAGGGAAAGGTGCAGTTTGGTCAAGCTTTTCAAGGAGTATTAATGAAAGGGATCCTTTGAGTGGAGAAAAACCTGCTTCTGCTAACACATGGATCTGCCCTAAAAATTTGGAAATCAGGATGTACTGGCGTCCTCTCAGTGCATGTTGCACATCCAAAGAGTCTCTGGAGGTGTGTTAGCCACTGGCTGCAGAGAGGCCTCTGGAACAGCTCCATCCCTGAGCAAAGGGAACTTTACAGCCTCTGCAGGATTAAGGCTGTTTTCCCCCTGTGTGTTTATGCAAAGTCAAGAGAAAAAGAAACATAAACTGATTTTTGGGGGCTAAGCTTTGGAAACCATGGTCGTTTCAGTGCTACAGGAGCAGGCAGAAGTGTGGAGCTGGCTTAGGTAGAATTTTTCTGCTTATCCTGATTTCTGTTTCATTGTTTATCCTGTTTATCCTCTTCTTGTTATCCTGAACTAGTTTGCCTTCTTGTAAACGCCAACCTACGACCCTTAAAAAGAAATCATCAGGAAGGAAACTTGCTGACTGAGTCTTTCCTTTGCCTGTGGCAGTCGAATAAGCCCATCAGCTTATATAATATTAATATTTGTAAAAGCAAACCTACAGAGCTCATAAATCTTCCATAAAAGAGGGACAATATCTACGTCTATTTTAAAATGAAGCAGGTAAGTAGGTTCTGGGACAAAAGGGTGTTGATACAAAGGAAGTGGAGAGATGAAAGAAACGAAATTGCCATTTTAATCTAAAAATTGTCTCTGAGGAAGTAATACCAGAGGCCTCACTGCTGCTGGAGCCAGTGTTTTGCTCTGGGTCATCATTTGGCCAGGGAAAGCCCCCATCCCTGGCTGTTCCCTGATATCCCATTCAGGTGGGTTAAGGAGTAAAAAAAAGTCAAAAAATTGAAGCAGGCCTTGTCTGCTGAAGAGAGGACTGCATTGCCATTTTCCTTAACTTCGTGCTTCTCCAAAGGAAAAAAAAAAAAAAGTACAAAAAATCTGCAGGTTTGGATTCCGTTAAACGTTTTTTAAGGCACAAAGCAGGCATTTCCCCATTAAGTGTGGGAACCCAGATGAGGAAAGGAATAATGCAGTCTATTTTTAGCCAACCAAGTGAGCAGTCTGTCTCCGGCCACACACGTGGAGCAGCTCCACAGAGGAACGACTTTCTTAGTCTTTCATTGAGTACTGCCCATGGTGGGATGGGAAGGGCAAAATCAAACCATTTGGAGATTGTAAAGGCAAAGTAAAATTCCTTTTTTTTTTTTTTTTTCCTGTTCCAGTTTTTTTAATTCTTCGAGCTGTGATGTCTGTGGGTGGCTGCAGGGGATGGGGCATGGGCAGCACCCAGGGTAACCCCATTCCTGATTGCCACAGGAGTTGAGCGTGTTGTGATGGCTTTTCCCCACTCCCAAGGACACAGCACAAGTCCCAGCATCCACAGTGGGGTGAGGGAACCTCCAGCCCCACGCAGGGACAGTGTTTTGTCCATGAACAGCCTGGCTGTGGTCTGTAGGGTGCTGCAGCTCAGCACTGAGCAGGGTGAGGGCTCTGGCTGGCAGCTGTGTTTATCCAGAGTGATGGAGAGGAGGGGCAGAGGAGTGGGTGGTTTTGGATGTTTCTGCCAGGCATGCATTTCTTCCTTTATGCTCTTTTTATTTCTTCTTTTCCTTTTTTTTTTTTTTTTTTCCCCCCCTCCTGGACCTGATCCAACAGGAAACCTTCTATTCTGTATTGTTCAGAACACAGAACAACGGAGCTGGATCAGAAGAGTCATTGTGTGGGCTTGGCTTGGTCCTGCCCAGCTCCCAGCCCCATCTTTGCTAACTCCAGCACTGCAGAAGCCCACCATGTGTGCCCCTTTTTTGGCAGTGTCTGTGAAATGAATCCGGCCCAGCCACGATCAGGGTAAAGCAGAGGTGGGCATGAACTGCTGGAAGGAGTTCCCAGTGGAAGGAGACAGAACCAGCAGAAGGGAGCCCAGGAAATACCATTATATTCATTTTAGAGATGGTCACAAAGAGGTGATTCCCACAAAAACTGAGCTGGGATCCTGGTGAGCCCCAGACCGAGGGCATGAGTCACGTAGTGCAGCCTCGCTCCTTCCCAGCTCCTCCTGCAGCTGGAAGATGGTCAGACATTGGCTTGATCTGAACTCTCTGATGAAGCAATTTTTTGAAATAGAGAGTTGTTGAAGCTGAATCTTCTCCTGGGATTAGGTCAATTCATTTAGTGCAGCACACTTTTGAGGAAAAGTTTTTATCGTGCCAGCTCAGGCAAGAAATATGTTCATGGAATTTTAGTATTCAGCTGAAATCACTATTTCATTTAAACATTTTAAGCTAATGAGAGTTGGCAAAAAAAAGCTTTTTTTTTTTTTTTATTAAGAAAAGGTGGAAATAAAAAGGGAACTTGTTGAAGTTATCTCAGTGGAAAATGTTTTCATGTTTTTCATTTATGGACATTTATAAGTTTAGCGCTGGCATTATTAAGGGCAAGAAAATATCTGAGAAGCTTTCACAAGGCCCAGAGATAATTAGTCAGACAATTCCTGCTGCTGTTTCTCATCTCCAAGCCAGCTGCATTTTTCCCTGGTGAAATTTTCTGCCACAGCAAAGGGGGAAAGTGAAGGTTTCAACCTTATGGATCAGCTTTGCTTACAGGGGAGAGAGGAAACCAGCCCAGAACCCCTACCCTGGACAAGAGATGAATGAGAGCAATTTCACAGAGGTCTATAAAATTATGGAGAACCTGAGCAAGGCAGGATAAACATGATGGTCTGGATGAAAAATCACACGCAGGGACATCAGTGCTTGCAGGGTGGATCAGGCAAAGGACCTGTGATATCTGTCTGTTGGTTCCATCAGAGATTTGCTCTGGGGAGTCCACTCGTGTTTGTGCTTTCTCTGTCCCTGGGTTAAGAAGGACAGAAGGCCCCCAGGGCCCTTGCTGGGTGTTCCCTGTGCCGTTGCTTTCCCCGGCCTTTTGCTGCCGCCTCCATCTCCAGGAGGGCCTGAGGACAGCCCAGCTGGGCATATCTCTGGTGTGGCAGTGTCTCCACTGTCATTAGAGGATAAATGACACCGTCTCCACGGCCAGGGAAGAAACCAAATTAAACTCCGCCATCCTCAGCGACTGATGGGCCGGCTGCCGACCTCCGTGTCACAGCCAATTCCTCACCAAGAATCAAGGGTGAATTGCATCTCTAATTTCTGTCACAAATGTTTTTTGCTATGCAAAGGGACAAACAGTAGCAGGGAGGAGAGGAGAGAGCGCTGGGCTGGCCCTCAGCCCGGTGGCAAGAGGAGGCTGTGACGATGCTGAGACGTTCCCAGGCCAATGGAGTTGCATCAAAAGACTAGAAGTGGCCAGATAAGCTGTTTCCTGGGCACACCATCCCACTAGAATAAGGCAGGTGTGAAGGAGGGTGAGGAGGGAAAGGGAATTGCTGGTGAGAAACGCTGCACAGCAGTCCGTGCTCCTCAGTGGGGAGTCACACCAAAGCGTGGGGAGATCTGCCCTAGAGCTCTGTAAGTGTTGAATCTGTTTGTTTGGGCTTGCCAGAGGGAGGCCTGGGTATGCTGTGGCATTCGGAGGGTGGCCACTGCAGGTGACACCAAGCTATGAGACATTCAGAGTGTAGCAATAAGCAGGCACTGACTCCTGGCACTAATCTGACCACGATCCATTTGTGGCGTATCGACTGCGGTGGAAGCCTGGCTCGATATCAGTCTTCAGGAGCCTCAACAGATCAATGTTTGATACAGATAAAGAAAATAGAGGGCAGGTGTTTATGGCATTCCCTGCGTGCAGTATTATTATTCCTTGCTCATCCTTCTGCTGAGGGAGGGGAGGGAGCGAGGAGGAAGGTGAGAAAGGTTTTTAGAAAGATAATTCAGGAGACATTTAAAAAGCAGTTGGAAGAAGGAGATTTATGGCTTTTTTTTTTTTTTTAACATCAGTTTTAGGCTGAAAAGAGGAAGCGAAAAATCTTCATAAAAATATATTGTCCTTTGAGAGACAAATTCCTATCAAATAGTGGGTTTGGGTTTAGTTTGGTGCCCAAGGCAGGAGGATCCCTGGCACATGGCTATGCTTGCCAAAGATTTGGGAAAGAAGGATATGCAGGGGTTCCACTGGTCCCCACTGCTTTCTGGTGGTAGGGAGACCCACACCTGGCTCTAAATACTTTAGGGCAACTGGTAGGGAGAGGATTAAAGCAGAGAATGTGGAAATGCTGGAGAGGATGGCTCAGTTTTGTGTCAATGCTCAGGTCTTGGACAACTGTATGGCTCAGAAGGGCTTGGAGGCTTCATGGTTGGGGTTTATTTCCATCAAAATCCTGGTGTTGTGAAGGTTGAAGTAAAACAAGCCATCCCTATGGAACCATTAAGTTGGAAAAGACCCTTAAGATCAAGTCCAACCATCATGTCCTTAGACCATCAGGATGCATCAGCTGCTCTGCAAAACCTCGGCCAGAGGTCAGGGAGGTTCCTCCATCAGAGCCAGGAATCCTCCCCAAGGAGGCTCCCTCGGGAAGTGACGACCCAAGGGAGGTGGAATTGCCTGTCCCTTGTGATGGGCAAGCTGGGAATAAACACAAAAGCGTGAAAGTATTTCCAAGCAGAACAGACAGGACCTTCAGAGCATCTTGTCCTATGTCTATATTTCCTCCTTTTCCTTTTCTCATCCCCCCTTCTCCCTGTTTCCACAGGACTGGCTGACAAAGTTCGGGTACCTGCCTCCTCCAGACCCCGTCACGGGGAAGCTGCAGACGCAGGAGATGCTCACCAAGGCCATCACTGCCATGCAGAGGTTCGGGGGGCTCAAGGCAACGGGAGTCCTAGGTCAGTGGCTCATGATCCCTCCTCTCTTCACTGCAAGGGGGAGCAGGGATGGCTCCTTGCAGGTCTGTGGAGGAGAAGGGACTTGGCCCTGTGCTCTGGAGCAGCAGCATCCCCAGGAAAAGCTCAGGCGGGTGTCACACACGGCCCAGTTTGCAGCTGTGAGAGTAATTACATGGCTCAGGTGCTCTGTTGCCTCGTGCTTTCAAGAACCTGAGGCAAGCAATTATTTCAACAGACCCACAGACCCTTGGGGTTCCCGGTGTGCTTAAAATAGCTCTTGGTGTGTTCCAAAAAAAAAAGACAAGACAAGGGAAAAAAGAAGAGTTGTCCTGTTCAAAGCCTTACTTGCAGCATCAAATTGAATTGCACAAAAATCCTGATTTAAGCTTTCCAATTTGCTATATGTAGATATTTTGGGTTCTTTGCTGCTGGGGCACAGGCAGGGAAAGGAGGAAGACGGTGTTGCGTCATCCTGGTGCTGCTTGTTCCTGCCCACGTGTCAGGGGGTGCCCGTGGAACTGGCAGCGCTCCCTGGGGCTCTGCTTGGATCTCACCCAGCCACAGAGGCTGTGGATGCTCTGCAGTCACCCCCAGCCAGCTGAGAGCCCATCCCCTGCCCCAGCAGCTCCAGTGCCCAGCAGGAGCAGGGAGATGAGTGGCTTCCCTGCGGCAGGCACGTCTGGCTGGGAGGGAGCAGGGCAAGGCCAGGCTGCAGCAGCTCGAGTTCCCCAGCGTGGCCGGGGTCACTCCTCTCAAAGTCTTCATTGAGGAGAGGAGAAAGCCAGCATTATCCCAGCCAAGGGGAGGGAGCTTCTCTGCTCTCCTCCGCTCCCTGACACACGGCTGTGACCTCCTGCCGTGGGGGCAGCTTGCTCCCTCGGCTCAGGACAGGATTAAGGAGAAGCTGCTGATTAGCAGGCAGGTCTCCATCCATCCCGACATCCCGGAGCATTGGATGCATCCCCTCACCGGGACTTGCCCTCTCCAACTCTTAATTGCCCACGTGCAATTATTTCTGTTCCACCTCATCACAAGCTGCAGGAGGCCCAGGAACAAGGATGGCCTTTTGAATGGATTTACATTTGCATTTTTGGAGGGGAGTGTTGGAAACAGGCTGGGGGGCTGGGCAGGTCATAGATGTTTCATGAAAACAGAGTTTAAGAGGTAAAGTCAGCAGGAAAAGGGGTGAATGAAACAACATGTCTGTGTTTTTTGAGAACAGGCACTTCAAGCTTTCATTCATTTTTAAAAATAAATAAGAAGGAATAAGAGCATTCTCCAAACGAGCTCCTAGCTGAACAGAGAAGGAGTTTGTTTAGATGTGAATGTTTCTCCTTGGCAGAGGAATAATGGGAAATTCAGCAAGAGAGAACAAAACAGAAAAATTAAAAAAAAATATATGTTTTAAAATATCTTCAATTTCTCGTTTTTTTTCCCCCATCCTTAGATGAAGCCACACTGGAGCTGATGAAGACCCCTCGCTGCTCTCTGCCTGACCTCGCCACTGCGGAGACCAGGAGGAAGCGATTCACGCAGGCTGTCACCAAGTGGGGCAAAAGGAACCTGTCCTGGAGGTAGGAATTCATCTACCCCTGCTGAAAACTTTCAGCGAAGCACCAATTCTACACAGACCTGTGCTAAATATGGCTTTAAGATGAGTTTCAGGGTGATGGTTGGAACGTCTCCCTGCGTGCTCCCGGGACCCCACAGACTATTTATTTGAACTCTTCTCCTGTCAATCCCACCCTTGACTTCTTGGACCCACTTGGCAATGGCTGGGAGTTGTGTGGTTTTGGCCAGTGGATTAGCTGGAAGCTTTTTTCTGGGTTACAGTGATTGTTAGAGCAACTTTTTTCATGAGTTCATCGGGACTTTGTGCTTTCTCAAGCAGATGCCATGGCTGGAGCTTCTCTTGCCTCACCTGAGCACAAAGGTTTGGGAGCATTTTTTTCTCCCAGTCTTTGGCACAGGGGAGTATTTCTCCCTCCCTGTCAGTGTGTGGGTCACTCTGAGCCTGTGACACATGGAAGCTCAGGTCCAGCTTCCAGAAACACTGCAGGTCAGGGTTGGCAAGCAAACTGATCCCTGTCCCACCAGGGTTTGTCCTTTTTGGGACTCATTTTTCCTCCCTCAAGGACCATGTGCTGCAGTGATTTTTTCCTCCAAGAAAGGTCAGCACCACAGGATGCTCAGACTGTCCTGAAAACACCCGTGGATGCTGTGGAGAGTTCTCCTTTTTAATTACAAACTTCTCTTTGATCCTGGCATAGCCCTAGAGCGAGTTCTCTTCCCGCTGCAGTAACAAATCTCATCTTGGCTGTCGCTGTTGACATGTGTTGAAACTGTGGCATTACCAGGGATTTGGTCCATGTTCCAGCAGATCCCTTTGAGACCTTATTTTGAGAGAAGATAAACATAACTCAGCTTCAGTGAGAAGCAGTTTTGGCTCATGCATGGCTTCATGTAGTGAAGTGACCCGTTATAAAAACTCAGCCTGGCTCCCTGTTGCCCAGCCCTGTCTGGGTGAGAGGAATAAACTTCACATTTCAGAGAGGAGAAAAACCCTTTGAGTGAAACAAGAAAACCTGATGTTCTGTGAGCTGCCAGAGCCAGGTCAGGGGCACGGCCCGTGCACAGTCTGACTCCAGCAGCTCCTGGCAAACCTGAGTGCCATGCCATGGCAGGGCAGGTGGGGTGGGTGGGCAGCAGGGGCAGGGCACTGGTTCTGCAGGTACCACCAGGGCACAGCATCCACAGTGTCAGGCTGGAGCGAAGCATGGAGGTGAAATGGGGTCAGGTGAAATGTTCTGATGGATGCAGCCCTGGGATACCCCTCACCTCCCACCCCCTTGGAAATTGTGATGCTGCGGCAAAGACTGCCATAAAAAGGGGTTTAGGTCTGAGACAATATTATATATAAGACATAAAAAAAAAAAAAGAAAAAAATCCATCTCCTGACAGAGTAATTTCTGCTTTTTATTCTTTGGTCCTTTCCAAGATCTTGGCTTTTGTCCAAGAAGGGGCTGTATTTTATAACTGTGGGTTGTATAAGCCAGCAGAAGGCTATAGCATTCCAGAAACTCCAGTGCAGTGTTTACATCCAGCACTTTAGATTAAACTGGCTTTTTGGAAACCGCCATGAAAATCGGCCAATGGAGACATAAAGTTTTACACTCTTACCTTCTACACATTGATTGAAGATTTTGAAAGAGGAAAACAAAACTAAATTCTACCGTGCCGTGGATTTAAAAGCTGAAGAAAAGCCTGAACAATTGGAAGGCTGGAATAAACGGGGGAGCAAAACTATATGAAAAGGGGGTCGCAGGACAGGCACCTGCACTGATGGAGAAGAAGGGGGGAAAAAAAATTATAGGCATGCAGATTGCTTGGGTTTCTTGTTTTTACCCTTGAATGCAGCCAGCCCGTGGGACTGGAGGGCTCGGGCAGTGCAGGTTGCTCGCAGTGCAGCCTCAGAGCATCCCAAGCAAAGCATCAGACACGGCCTGTTTTCTGTGCCTCGTCTCCGTGGAAAGTTTCCAGGATATTACAGCCCATAAATCTTCTTTTCACAGGATTTTTTTTTTTTATTACCCCTTTCTATTTTCCCGTCACCATCCCTCCCGGGGTGCCGAGGCGCTCGGCAGCCGGCGGGGGAGCGGCGTGCTGCGGATGCCCTCTGTCGGCATCTGGCACCTCTGCCTGCAGCCTCTTCTTCCCCCTGGCTCTTCAGCCTGGTTTTCCCTTTGCTGATTTTAATCTGTCGCTCCCGGCTGTGCCCTGCAGAAGGGGAGTTCACAGCCGGCACCTCCATCTCTTCTCAGCACCCGCTGTCTCCCCACGGCGCTGGGAAGTGCAGCAGCAGGGCCGTGCCCCTTCTCTCTGCATGCTCTGAGCTCCCTGGGGCAGGGGAAGCTGTTGAAGCCAAGCTTTCTAAATTTCCTGGGTTTTTTTTTTCTCGCTGAAATCTCAGCCTGGTGCCAGACTGAGCTGACTTTCATCCGCCTTTAGTTAAGGATGAGTCCCTCGTGCCGCTTCATCAGAGCTGCAGTCTTTGAAACTGCGATGCCCGGGCCATGGGGTGCCAGAGCTGGAGCAGACACCGCTGGCAGAGGAGCAGTGATGCCTGTCAGTCACTGCCCACCAGTGCTGTGAGGGCCCTGAGCCCGCCCGAGGGGAGATGTGCCATTGCCTGAGCACTGATGAGGATTTACTGAGGCACAGAGGGGCAGCCAGGCAGGAGAGTCTGGGTAAGGGTGTGCAAGCCCCAGCGCTGCAGGGAGGACCTGATCCTCCTGCTTTCATCCTTTAATCCATGGCATCCCACCACGGGGACAGCCCAAGCCCAGCTGGTCACAGACTGCCTCGTCTCCCACATCTGGGGGTGACAGATGCTCGAGGGGGACGGTGTCACCTCTCAGTGTGGAGCTGCTCTGGTGCCAGGGTAGCTCCAGATCGGGGCTGCCATGCCATGGATGGCTCTGGGAAGCTGGAAAAGCACCTTTACCACGGCAGCAAGTGCCCACCCCTTCAACTGTCCCCTCTTCTCTCCCTCTCCAAGAAAAATCAGAGTGGGTTTATCAGGCAGTCCTTAGCCCGCTGTGTTTGGTAGTTCTCAGCATTTATTGTATTTGTCTGTGGTTTCAGGGCTGGGAAGGTGAAGGAGTGTTTTCATTAACCAGCTATTGATTTCTCATCCATCACTCTTCCACTTTTGGAGGACAAAAACCAAAAAGGACCCCAGAAATCGAGTTAAGTGTTGGTGTGGGTGCCCCTCAATAGCAAACTGAGGCAGACCAGTCCTTCCTGGTCGCTACTTATTAACGATCCTGGACACAAAGTCCCTTTGGGGTGGGAGAAGCAAAGGAGGAGACTCAGGGGACATGTGAAGGAGTGGGTGAAAGTCAACATTCATTTGTCTGCACGGCAGTGCTGCTGTCTGGGTGAGCTGGGAATGCTCTCTTGGCACCCAGTTGTGCCACCCACCACTGCTGGAAGCTCAAGGCAGTGTTGGTGGGGTGGCTGGAGGGGGCTGAGCAGCCTGGTGTTTGTCACCTTCCTGCTGCTCGGCAGGGGCCGTCTGGAGCAGAGAGATTTCTCTCCAATTGCATCAGGGCTTTGCCCAGAATTGGAGCTCTGTAAGGGGAGTCTCAGGAGGTATTAACAGCCAAGGAGTGGTGCTCTCCGCTGGGGACCTAAACACCATTAACTACAAATAATAAAAATAATAATCAAGGTAGGAGGAAGGTTATTTATCTGCACGAGGTTGGAAATGTGCCTCCTTTTCGGTGGAACCGGGTAATGCAACGCCAACAAAAGTCCTATCAGCATAATAGTCTTTTCCTAATCGGGTTGAAAACAATTAGCAGAGCTCCAGCAATCAAATCAGATGCTGAATTGAAAAAGCCTGATGGGATTCTCTTGAAAAAAATGACGGGGATAATGAATAAAGGAGAGGGGACTTTTCACTTACACCTGCAGCATGTTAATAAAATGTGGGTCAGCTCAGAGGTGCAGGACCTTTTATAAGAAGCAAAATAGGTATTGATACTCTTTCTGCCTTAATCTAATGTTTCTGGAGTCAGGGCTTGGGATGAATATTAATAATGTTTGTCTCTTTAGACGGGGCTTTTTATCCCCCATCCTTTTACAAGGGAGGTCTGATTTATTATCCTCATTCTACAGCTGGAAAAAAGAAGGAAAGAGAAGGAAAACAGCTCACGTGGCTTGTGAAGGAAAGAGCAGATAGTGTCCCTGAATGTGTGTCTGTGCCCTAGGCACCGTGATCTTGGAGAAAGGTCATAATTCCTGGGCTACACATGGTGTGTTTTACACATATAATGACTTGTTCAGTAGAAATTAAAGCAGCAAGGGATTTACCTAAGTCCAGATGAGTGTTGTGGAAGATGAAAACACCCAGTTAAAGAATATCTGGAAACCAGGTGACCTTTCTGTAGTGTAGAGGATTACATCCAGCCAGAGTCTTTTCTATAAATTATAAATTGCCTGACAATTGTATTTTCTAATCCCACGCTCATGTTTGTACCTCTGTGCTGCCTCCTTTACAAATGCATTTTTTTTAAAGTCCTGTGATTATCTGATGTCACATGCAGGTTAACTCATGTAGAATAGTTGATAAGGTCTTTCTTTGCCCAAAGAGTTTAGGGATAGCGAAGATATGAATGATTTTTGCTCATTTGCCTGTGATGTGTTTGGCCTGATTCACCCACCCCATTCCCACCGTCTCCAGGATGGGCTTCCTAAGCTCTTCAGAGAAACTGTTAGTGAGATTTCTGCTTGCCCCCATGAGTCCCTGTTTGTTCTGTCCCAGGTTTAACCCTGGCTAGTTTTGCCCAGGGCTGCCTGTCTCTGAGGACATGGGATGTATGCAAATATTTGTGAAAAGAAGAGCTCCCAACCCCAGCCAGCAAGTCATTCCTACTCCCTTTCTCTGATCCATGGTGTCTCCTGGCACCCAAATCACTACGTGGAGGATGAGCCTGAGCACTGTGACATCCCTTTCTGACACCTGTAATTACCTCTTGAAGTGTAGTCGGGTCATTACTGGTGCTGGGGAGTGGTGTGGAGCTGAGTGATGCTCTCCCAGCTGTATTATGCAGGAGGGCAAGCAAGGTGATCATAATTGTTGCTTCAGCCTTTAAAAATCTGTCAAGCCATGAATATTTCATGAACACTTTGGTTGGCGTGCTGGTGCACAAGAAATAAAGTATCTGTTATTACTGGGGTAGAGCTGGCCAGAAATTTTCCAGCAGAATTGGTTTCTGTCAATAATTACTCAGTCAACAGTACATTTGCTTGGAAAGTGTGTATATTTTTGTCAAAATTGTCAATGAAAGATTATCTAAACATACTCCTTTAGAAGCCAAGGTGCCTTGTTTCATCTCTGTCTTTTCATCTCCTCTATTAAATCAACAATATTAGGAATTCTTTTTCAAAGTTGGCTTACACAGGAAACATTGAGTTTTTTTCCATTTCCAGCCCAGCCCAAAAGGGAGGGTGGAACTGTGAGGCTGAAGGACAGATTCCAGCACACAGGTTGTCCCACCTGGCTTCTCTCCGAGGGCAAGGCAGAGCTGGGGACCACAGTAGGCAGTGCTGATACAGAGAGACAGGAATAGCCCTGAGATGAATGCACAAGTGTTGCAAGCCCCTGCTCATCAATAGTTTTTTCTACCAAGAAGCAAGTCAAGAGCTTCTCAACTCCAGTGCTCCATCAGGTCGCCAGTCTCCTTCAGGCAATAGGCTTGAGGCATCTTGAATTTACATAAAACGCATCCTTTCCTCTTGCTCCTTGTTATGGATTGCAGTCTGTGAGACTGCTGGCAGTGCACTGGTTTCAGAGTATATTTTATAACTCCAGCAGACATGCTGGGAAATATATGGAGGCAGCAAACCTGTACTGGATTTCTGTGTGTGTGTGTGTAATAAGAATGAGCAATGACCTGCTGTTTGCTGCAAGAAAACTGATGGGCCCGTGTGTGATGCAAAGGCTTCAGACGTCAACAGTCTCTGTGTGTTTGGGCTGCGCTTGGAGCGAGTAAGTGGTGAGAAAATAATTAGCAATAGGTCTGAAAAGGAGCTTGGAGAAAAAAAAAAAAAAAATGGGCAAGTTCTGGAAAGGGAGTCATGATGTTGGCATTTCCAAGGATGGACAAGAGTTGTAGTCCTGGGGCCCTGAGCATTAATAAGAGGTTCTGGCTCTGAGGGCGACTGCCCCCTGGCACAGCAGGGTCAGGAGGTGTCAGGATTCAGATCTTGGCTGTGTTTCACACTCGTGGGTGTTCCGCACTCTGGTGGGCAAGACTGGCTTGGTATTTCCAGAAGTCCCAAACTCAGTCTCTGAAATCCTCACAGCCCTGGAACTGATGTGATTCAGGGATTTAAGGACACGCCTGTGAAGGGCGTTTTGGGGCACTTTGGGGGAGCACCAACAGCTCTGACGGCCTCACCGAGGCTCTGTGATGCACCAGCCACCTGCAGAGCCAGTTCTGGTGACCCCACGGAGATCTTTGGTGCTCCTGACCCGTCCTCTTCTTCACCCTCTTTGTTTCAGAGTTCGCACCTTCCCGAAGGAATCCCACCTGGGCCACGACACGGTCCGGGCCCTGATGTACTACGCCCTGAAGGTCTGGAGCGACATCACCCCGCTGAATTTCCACGAGGTGGCAGGAAACAATGCTGACATCCAGATAGACTTCTCCAAGGCAGATCACAACGACGGCTATCCCTTTGATGGGCCTGGGGGGACGGTGGCACACGCTTTCTTCCCCGGAGACCACCACACAGCGGGAGACACTCACTTTGACGACGACGAATATTGGACCTTCCGATCCTCAGGTGGGTCAGGGTGGGAGAGCTGCAGCCAGACACACAAGAGCTCCCACTTTCCTTCTTCTTCTCTGGTGGTTAGAGTGGTTTAGCCTCTGCTACACCTTGACCCCAGGCTTCAGGATTCCACCCCCTTCTTCTGATTTCCCTCTCAGCCTTGCTAATAAAATCACCCCAGGCAGAACTGAGGATATTCTATGTTCCTGCAAGCCTCAGTGGCACCTCTGTGTTTCTCCCCATCATGCCAGCAGTTGCAGAGCTCCCCATTGCCCACCCCCAGTTCCCATCTCTCCTGGGCCTGGAAAGCCGCAGGTTGGGTGTGTGGCTGCTGGAGCTCCTGAATGGGGACTGCATTCTCTGACTTTGATGTCTTTTGGGTGGCTTTGCTGCCACGTGTCCCAGTTTCCTGGTTTTAAAGTACATTATTATAAGGTGACCTGCCTGGAAAGGGCTCTGTGTTCTGCAGTAAAAAGCCCCCTGTGAGCACTATGTTTTTCCTGCACGTTTCCCTACACCAGGATGGTTACACGTTACAGTTTTATTCCTTTTTACTTTTTATTTCATCTCCTCTGGTTAGAGAGCAGAGTTTTAATAAGCAGAGGGACTTTCAGAAGCGAGTGTTCCTAAGCCACAAAACCATCTGTGGGGATCAGATCCCCAAGCTTTGTGGCACGTTTTGACAGAGTGTCTTCTCTGCAGTCACCAGCTGCTAATTTGCTTGTCACGCCACCTCCTTTGCCAGCCTCCCAGGGGGCTCCTGCTGCCTCAGCTTAATGACTTTGTTTAGACCTAATCGTCTTCTCTGAAAGCAGCTAACACCTTCTTCCTCCCCCCACCTCTCTCCTCCTGCCCACCAGTTGACCTCCATCCATCCCCCTGAGTGTTGGTTGGTAGGAGCGTTCACCAGACGTGCTGGAGGAGGTCTTGAGGTGAAGGCCAAAGGTCTGGACAGGCTGATCCTTTAGGATTGCACCTGCTCCTTGGTTCACAGTGCTGGGCTTTTGGTTTATTGGCTCCTATGGGGAAGGGAAAGGAAGGAAGCAGCAGCTGCGCTCTGCAGACACACAGGGCAGGGGCAAGTGCTGCAGTCAGCAGCTTGCCACAGCAGATGTGTCAGTGATGGGGTCAGGATGGTGCTGCTTGTGTAGCTGGTGGTTGGGACACTCATTGTGAAACAAATTCATGTGAAGGAGAGAGCTCAGAGCCAGCATTCCTGCAGGGAGTGTCCCTCCAAGCACTGCCGGGGGGATGAGGGGATGAGCCTGACGGCGAGAAAGCTGCCCTCTATTTTGAAGGTCCTGGAGCTATCTGAGCTTCATCTTTTATTTATTTTGTTCTCCCCAGTGATTCAAAAACAACAACTTGGTAGGTGATATAAAAATATCCCCAAGGTTGTCGGTTTGGCATTAAAATGTCAGAGAGCATATGTCTTGTTCTCCCCTAGTGCTGGGGAAAACAGCACAGGTTATAAAAATCCCAACTCTTTGCAGACACTGTAAATAATAGTCATGAAGGAAAAGGCAAAGCTCAGCAAAAAATATCCCCCCTTCCACCACCCCAGGACTGGTGGGGAGCACTGAGGATTGTGCAGGATTAGCCATGGCTGCTTCTGTGCCACATCTCCTTTAGCTCCAGGGAACGTGGCACTCCCCTGAGCTCCACAGGGACCTTTCCAACCTCACTGCCTGTTCATTACAATACCTGAAATCATGGTGGTTGTGACGTGGGTGCTGTCTCAGCCATTTGTCCAGCCCTCTCTCAGGTGCCCACAGGGATCTGGGTATAAGAGGCTGGTCTGGGCTGATGTCTGGGTTGCTCTTTATTTTGGTATGGTACACTTTAGTCTCCAGCTGGAAAAAAAAAGCTTGACCTGTTCCAAAGCTTTTCTTTCCCTTTCTTTCTGTTCATCCAACATATACCTGCACTTTTTCCCCACAGCCCACCCAAATCCCCCCAAATACAACCGTCATGCAGTGACTTTAATTCCAGTTTGGTCTTTATCCCCAGATGCCCATGGGATGGACCTGTTTGCTGTAGCTGTCCATGAGTTTGGCCATGCCATTGGCTTGACCCACATCTCTGCCATAGAATCTATCATGAGACCCTACTACCAAGGCCCAGTGGGGGACCCTCTGAAGTATGACCTGCCTTACGAGGACAAAGTCAGAATCTGGCAGCTCTATGGTAAGTTTGTGTCCTTCACCCTGCTCCAGCCCGTTTCTGCTGTGGGAGGACACACTGGAGGAGCTGTTTTCTGGAGCGAGTGGAGCTGGTGGAGAGGATGGTGTTTCCCCACTACTGCTTCTTGCCTTTCCTCCCAGGAGTCAGGGAATCCGTGTCCCCCACTGCCAAGCCTGAAGTGAGCAAAACAGACGACCATCCCGTCCTGCCAGAGCTGCCAGAGAACCGCTCCACTGTCCCGTAAGTCAGATTAGTTCCTTTCCTGCAGAGGATGTGTGGTAGTGAAGCTCCGCCCCATCAGTGTCTTGCCTGATCACTCTGGCTTTGCTGTTTCTCTCTGGACCCTCTGGATGATTCCCTAAGACTCAAAATTTTACTCATACGAATGGAAACGTGCCCCCGTCACCCTTAGGTAAATTCATTCTTGCTGAAATTTTAATCAAACTTCCTCAGCAGGATCCTGAATTGCACAAGCATAACTGAGCTAAATCTTTCCACGGTGAGCAACTCCCCAGTGTACCTGTGGGGGTGAATATTGGAACAAGTGGACTGATAGCCTGACTCCAACACAGGTTTGCCTTGGCACAGGACTGCTTAAACTGATGCCATCAAGCAACCAGCGTGTCTTCATTAAGGGAAGTTCTGGATCTGGCTCATTAATAAACGTTGGAGTTACCAAATTGCTTTACTGCCAGGACAGCAGGACAGTTAAGAGGAGAAGGAACACGGAACCAAAAGGCAGGAGGTGATGGTCACACACGTTTTTGTCAGATACCAGGAGCACCCCAAGTGAGAGTGGCAGAGATGGAGCAGGTCACCTTCACCTCCTGGTTCTTTTTCTGTTTTGTTTTTTTTTTCCTGGAATGTGCTGAATGCCATTAATTATCTTTCTCCCTGCATAGCGTCTAATAGCACTTTCCACAAGGCTCTCTGTGGCTGTGTTCTGACCTAGAAACATGAGAGCCTTTCTCTCTGCTGCTGTCTCCTGACCACCGTCTCAAACTGGCAGCAGGAGGAGCAGAAAACCTGTTTGTGCCAACCCCCTTGTTCCTGCCCCATGTGCTGAGAGGGTGGGTGGGGTTCACCTCCACATCTGACATTTTGTGGCCAAAGAGGGCTGTGAAGCTGGTGCTGGCAGCCTGAACAACTCTCCCATCAGCAGATTAGATTTATGCTTCCCTCTCACCCAGAGCAGCTTTTCTGTGCATGTTCCCAGCATCCTCTCCTTGTTCCTCCATCAATCATCATTCCTTACGTGGGCTTTGTGGCTCTCTGTCCTTCACATTCTGTGCCTCCCCCACCCACCTTGTTAAGGCAGCTCAGTATCTCAGCTGCCCCTTGCTGGGTGCCTTTCACCAGGTGTTTTTCACCAGGTGTCTTGCACTGGGTATCCCGTGGCATCATCGCTCCTCCAGGTCCCTCTGTTTAGGCTCAGCTGCTTTCTGCTTTGCAGCTCTGTCACCTCCCACTGGCGTTTATGGAGCTCAGCCTCGGAGCAGCCACGTCCTGAGCCACTGGAGCGAGATGAGAAGCTGCTTGGCTGCTGTGCACGTGTCCTGCTGCCCTGGGGCAGCCGGCCGAGCCACGGCGGGCTGGGAGGCCAGCTCAGCCCTCACCAGCCTCACTGCCTGGTAGATGCAGAGCGTGTCCTCGCTCGACTCCCAGCCCCTGGTGGCCCAGGGCTGTGTGCCACAAGCTGGCTTCAGGCTGAGGGTTGCCTGAGCTCGCCTTGGAAACCGCCGGGCACATGGCTGGGTTTGAGCATCAGGAGGGGCGGGCAGGCAGGCACAGCCCGTAGCCTTCTGCCAAGGGCTCCAGAGCCAGGGGTGATGCAGTCCCTGGGATGGGAGGCACAGGGGGGACACGGCCTCTCACCTGGGCTGCGCTCACCTGGGCGCCTTTCCACAGGCTCCGGCGGGACGTGCCCAACAGGTGCAACACGCACTTCGACGCCGTGGCCCAGATCCGGGGGGAGGCTTTCTTCTTCAAAGGTGAGCACCTGCCCCCAGCACAGTGGCTGCCAGGGCTCTGTGCCTGTGTCACCCTGCTGTGGCACTGGTGTGGGCTGGGGTTGGGTGGTGAGGATGAGCTGCCCTGGGGTATGGGGGCTGCAGACCCAGGGAGGCAACTCCCACATTGGGGGGCTGAGAGGGAGGAGGAGGAGGAGGAGACAGGTTGGGGTAGAGGTATCCAAAGGGTGGAACAGTAAATCAGGCATTATTTTTATCCAAAAAGAAGGGAAAAGCCAGTGAAACTACAACACAATTTATTTTAAAATTGTTAAAATTGATGTGGTTTAACTCAGGGCATAGTGAACCTGTGGGACCTGTGGCCAAGAGCAGTTCATTGGCACGAGCATGGGGGGCTTCTGGTGGGTGATTAGGGAGGAGAGACCACCGGAGGCAAACCCACCTGCCCAAGTCCCCACGGTGTGCAGCTGCTGTGGGATGTGTGTCCTAACTCCAGGCAGAGCAGGTGCATGTCCACGTGCCAATCCTGGGATTTAACACTTCCCTCTGAAGCGGCCGGACTGGTGACGATCCAACACAGCAATTCGTACTCTCATCCATTCCCCTGGACTGCCCAGGTGAAGAACTAAAATCTGATGTCTGCACTACCGAAGTCAAAATCGAGGTTGAACCAGGGATGAGCGGAACAGCAACAACACTGCACTGTTTTTTTTTTTCTGGGATACTTCCAGCGGTCGTTTCCTTCCAAGCTTCACCTTCCCTAATGCTGCTTGCTGTGCATCACTCAAAGACAGCGCGTGTGCAATTGCAAACCGTCTGGTTTCGTGCCAGCAAACACTTGCTGGCAGGGTGTCCCCAGGGTGCCCGGCTGTTGGCAAGGATCCCATCGGTGCCTCCTCAGCCGTACAGAGCCTGCGTAGGCCGGACTCTGCAGGATTTCTTTCTCATCTTTCCGAGATGTAAAAATGCCCACTGGGCACTTCTTTTCCATCCCTGGCCACCCCAAAGCCATCCAGCAGGGAAGCAGAAGCCCCAGGGGTGAGCAGCAGCGTCCAGGCTTGTGTAACCCATCTGGGTATGGCAGTGGGAGAGCCTCGGGTCACACACGGTGACAGGGCTCCAGGGAACTCAGTGGGGAGCACAATACAGGGGCTGTTCCACAACGTTCTTTGTTCAGATGCCAGCTCCAAAAGGCCACAGGGAAGGAGGGAAAATCAGAGACGTGGACTGGTGTCAGGATAAATGGCTGTCTTGTCTCACAGAGCGGAAAAAATGATGAAGCGGGGATAAATCCGTCTCAGTTGTCCATTTTTGGATATATTTATTGTGGGCCAAAATGCAAATGGAAAGAGCACAGGGTCGGTGGATGACAGCTGCACATCTGCCTGCAGAGCCCAGCACCTCTTTCAGAGCTCCCATCACTGCCCCCGGACCACCCTGGGCACCAAGGAGCGGGGATGTCACCTCTGGGGCAGGATTTCAGTGACCTCTGGTGCTGAGCAACCTCCATCGATGGACGTTTTGTTCTCAGCTGGTCCACCTGGTTCCCTGGCTGGAGAGCAGCAGGACTGGAGCTCCTCAGGGCTCCCTGGATTGTCACGCTGAAGGCAGTGGGGGGGTTCTCCACACTTCAAATTCGCTGCTGGCTTTGATGTAGGGGCCTCGCTAGAGACCCCTGAAGTTTTAAACACCTTTGGCCTGCGTGTGTGTCTGCATGGCGTGTGCAGCAGTCTTGCCAGAGGCATCCAAAATCTGGACAGCCTGGTGCACAGCTGGGATCAGAATTACCTGGGATTAAAGAAAGCAGTTGCCTCAACCCACCGACCACGTACTGGGACAGCAGGGCTTCACGCTTGGCTTTTATTGTGCTTAGTTTGCCAGCTCAGAGAGGGGTTTAAATTGAGCTTTTTAAACAAACGTGAGGTTGGGGGGTTGTTTTTTGGATCTGGCTTTGGCTGATGAAGCAGCACTTCGACGAGCAGGCCAGGCCATCACACTCAGAATTCCTTGCTACTTAACTGCTTTATTTCCTTTCCTTTTTCCTGATAGCTTATCAAAAACCCAACCAAAGCAGCCAAGGACTCAGGCTGTGCCTGACTTTGGGGGTAGATTTCAGGCTTGCTTGCTGCAGCTGTTCACCCGCTGAGCCCATCACTCGCAGAGGGATGAATGTCAAAAGCTCCAGGGCTTCCCTTCGTGCCTCTGAGGAGCCCAGGGCGCTTCAAAGTTCAGATACTGGGTCTGCTAAGGAAGGAATTATCTTGAGTTCTCTATTTCTTGCTGAAAAAAAAGTGAAAATCTGGCTTTGTCTGGTGCCTTGCTAATTAGAGATGCAGAGATCATCTTTATTTAATTACATATGTTTCCATCAATGTAAAAATGGCCACCAAATTTGAATCCTCGGGTTTTTTTACTTCTTTAAAAAAGAATCTGTAATTATGGCAATTCCTACCATATTGGGATGTATTATTCATTTGTGTGTTTCAGTCAGATAGAGCAAATAGGCAAACTGGAGCAGAAGAACAAGAACATGATATAAATCCATATAATTAGAATAAAGCTCCCTCTCTGCAGATGTTTAAGTGTTAGGGTTTTGCCTCCTGCATTATTAGGCTAAGATCCAATTTCCATAAAATTTTAAAAGCCGGTGTCACAATCTGCCGGCTCTGGAGAAAGGGCTGAGTGTCGTGAATACAAATCTGAAGATGCCTCTCTGGTTTCTGTTGCTTATCTCCCCATGGGAATCCATGCAAGAGCAGATGTAAATAACAGGCAATAATTTCTAACAGGCAATAACAAATATGAGGCAAAGTCGAGAGTTGCCTCTTAGACATCTTACTTCAGCTCACACCACTCTGTGGAGCTCTCCAAGGAAAACACAGCACAGAGAGCGCTGCAAAAGCTCAGGCTGAGAATCCCAAAGCCAGTGCAGAGTTGGGTTTTGAGTTGCCCCTAAAACTCGTTAATACTCCCTGGGAAATCCCACATAAGGCTCTGTTAGCAGGAAGAGGTTTGTCATCCTTCCCACAGAGGAACCCAGATTACTCAAAATATTCCAGAAATATCCCAAATATTCCAGAAATACTCTTTCTGATCTGGGGCAGTGCTGCTGCAGGCGCTGAAGTGTGTTTGCTGGCACCACCAGTACATTCATTCCGGGAGCTCCGCAGGACTGTGGTCCCTGCTTATCCTGCACCTCTAGATGGTACCAAAGTCCTTAATTGTGCCTCCTTCCCAACCTCAACCCTTCCAGATTTGCATGGTTTCCTCCTCCTCTATTTTCTTACTCCCTTTCTTCATTTAAAAAAAAAACCTTCTTCTATTTTTAATCATAACATCCTAGACATTCCCAAAAGCAAAGCAGCTGAGCATCTTTTGTGCAGGAAGCTGTGGCTGCTCCGGGAGAGGAGGAACAGGGATGTTTTTTTGGAGACCCTGGCTAAAGGTTACTAATAGGCTGGTCCCACCAGCTCCCAGAAGATCCCATGCAGAGAGGGAGGGAGGAGATGAAAGGCTCCTCTTTGCCTGCCCCAGCTCACTGGCACAGCTTCACACCGTGGCCAGGAGTGTGACAACTCCAGTGCAGAGGATTATTTTAATCCAAAAAAAAAAAAAAAGGGGGGGGATTTCTTCTAATGGCTGCCAGAAATAGAAAGCAGTCCCAGCTGCTGCTGGAGAGCGGGATGGTTCTAATTCACGGTTCCCATCTCACACGCTTTGCTTCCTGCCGCTGCCACCCGCCTGCCCGGCGCTTGTCCCTCTGTGCCGGTGGGTCGAGTGTGGTTCAGTAATGTCCAGTCTGTCCCTCCAGGCAAGTACTTCTGGAGACTGACTCGCAATAAGCACTTGGTCTCCCTCCAGCCGGCTCAGATCCACCGTTTCTGGCGGGGTTTGCCGCTCAACCTGGACAGCCTGGACGCGGTCTACGAGAGAACCAGCGACCACAAGATCGTCTTCTTCAAAGGTGAGCGCTTCAAACGCGGTGCTGGAGGGAGCTCTTTTGTCCCCTCAATGTACAACCTGGTGCCAGGGTACCCTGGCAGCGTTTTGGCCTCTCCTGCAGGCAGGAGATACCAGTGCCAGCCACTGAGCATCTCCCAGGGCAGGTATGAGATCTGCTGTCTGTGAGCAAGGCAGGAGAAAGCAGCTGGCAAAGAGGGCAGGCCAAAGGTAGCAGTCACATTCCCCAGAAAGTGAGGGAAGTGTCATTGAAGATAAAGTTCAGGCAAATGTAACTGAAATCTAAGCTTTTCAAGAATGGAACACAAGCAGGAACCACCCCCACGCACACTCCACAGGTGCTGTGTTCCTGCTTTGGCCTTTTCTCTTTTTAATATTTGTTGCTGAGGAGGGAAGAAGTCATAGAGGGGACAAAAATGAAACTGAAGAGCTTGGTTTTGCTAATTATATTTCTTTTTCCACATTTTTTCTTAAAATAAGTGATGTCATCCTATCTTTTTGCTTAAAAAAATCTCACACCCTTCTTTCAGAAGAGCTGGAGGAACAGATCAGCTCTTGGTTTCTATACAAATGGCTCTGAGTCCCCCACAGACAATCCACTCATGCTGGTTAGATGCCACCCATGCCCTCAGTGTCACTCAGGCTCCTGGCAGGCACTGACTCTTGTTTCAGAAAGGTTGTGCACTTAGATGCTAAATACATCCCAGCCTTCCTGGCTGGAAATTGCTTTTTGTCTCTGGACCGTTCTGCTCCAAATGTGGTGCAATTATCAGTTTCAGAAGCGCTGAACCAAGCGCTTCTGGAAGCAATAATTTGGTTTCAGTTCCTCCAGCCAGGCTGGAGGGGTGGCTTATGCCCTGTGCAAGCCCCTGTGCTTGCAGAAGTCCCTCCAAGCACAGCCAAAGCCCTCCCGGAGCGCTGGCACGCCGAGCTCTGCAGAGATGTGCCAAGCCCTGCATCTCCCCACGGATCAGCCCGTGGAAGGCTCTGCCATGCGTGTCCAGCTGCCTCAGGCAGCCTGCCCTGCTCTGCTTTCCCAGAGGGAACGGGGCCAGCTGGAGCATGGCAGCCCTTATGCCTGGCACCAGACCCTCCCTCCAATCCGGTCTGCAGCACTCGCTCGCTTCCTCCCCTTCCTCCCTGCTCTGCCTGCTGGGGATGGACAGACAGACAGCAGCTCAGGTCCAGGGGCTCCTCCCAGCTGGAATTCCAGATGTGCCACAGTTGGTGTCTTGCCCCTGCAAGGCCCGTGGCCACCACACGCTCTGTGTTGGTCCTGCCTAACTCCCAACATGGACTCAGGATTTTCCATCCAGCTATAAAATACTGTCTCATTCTCCCCCTCTGGCGCTGTTTCATTGATCCCTGGACAGAAACCAAAGCACACAAATTACCTTGGCCTCTAAGGGTCCTGCTGCTGATACATGGGCGTGCATTTAAGGGCCTCTTCAGATATTCGAGAAAACCGAGGGAGGAAAAAGTCTGATCCTTAAAATAGGTTGTGTAATACCTAAAAGGACACTGCAGGTTCCCAAAGAGATGTTGTAAAAACGAATTCCCGAGTGGTTGGAGGATGATGAAGGAATTGAGACATCTGGGTTCATTTTCTTGTTCTCACACAGACCCAGGCCCAGTCACATCATGTTTATTTTTACTGGAGAAAAAAACCCACAACATACTGATGGTTTACTGCCCAAGGTGGAGCTGAGGAAGATGCCTGTGTAGACACTTGAAGAGCAGTGAGCTGCTCAGATGGGATTTGTGCAGCCCTTGTACATCCTCTTAAAATCCACAGGTCCTTCAGCCCGTCTGGCTCTGGGAAGTGTGGTGATTTCTCTTCCAGAGCAGGACTACACTTGGCTTCTCAGGAGCTGAATACCAGGCAGAAGGTGCCCATTTTGCCCACCAAAGGTGCATGTATCTTTGTTTCTTGCCCCCAGGGGGCAGAAAACCAAATGCCTCCACCAAATGCCTAAAAGTGACAAGTGTAGTAACATGTTCGTATCCTGGGACCATCACGCTTTCAGAAGCAAAGCAGGGCTATGTCCGTGGAAAGCCTGACAATAAAAAGCAACAATTCAAAGCTAGAGGTTCCCCAGTGGGCTGACCCCTTCCCATTCCCATCCTTAAACGCCAAGAGCTCAGTCCCGAGGCTTGTGACCACAACAGACGACAAAACATCGGCTCGTCCGTGAGGGAAAGCTGGTTCTGACCGCGAAACAAATGTAATTTTGCTCTGTGCTTCTTTCCTTCCCACAGGAGACAGATACTGGGTCTTCAAGGACAACAACGTGGAGGAGGGATACCCACGGCCCATTTCAGACTTCGGCCTGCCACCGGGAGGAATCGACGCCGCGTTCTCCTGGGCCCACAATGACAAGACTTATTTCTTTAAGGACAATCTCTACTGGCGCTACGACGACCACGAGCGGAGGATGGACCCCGGCTACCCCTCAGAGACCACCCTGTGGAAGGGAATACCAAGCCCTTTGGATGATGCCATGAGGTGGTCAGACGGTGAGTCCGCATTCAAAAAACACAGGAAAGAAAACAGTGCTGTGTTGAGCTGTAGCCCCTTCTACCCTCCTGCCGACCTAGCTGCTGAGGCCCTGATGGGATGGCAGCTCCTGGTGTGTGGAAGATGAAGAGAGAGTTGTGCTGCCAGCCAGAGCTCCCCACACTGCTCACTGAAACACTTTGTAATTTAAACAGGCAACAAAAACATCCTGAGGGGCTAATAATTTTATTTTATTAAAAGAACACAGTTGATGTTGCTTTGCAGTGATTTTTATCCTAGCGAGGGCTGATTTGCTCCTCACTGGTTTTGTTGTCATTGGATTCTTTTAGCTGGTTGTATGAGGATGCAGACAGAAAATACCTTCAAAGGAGATGTTTTCCCCAGAGTTACGACTTATTTTCTGGGCATGAGATTTCTCAGTGGTTTCTTCCCGCTGGAAAGACCACAAAAATTTTGTCACAGGAGACATTTACAACCAGCCATCCAGTCACAACAAAGTGGCACTTCCAGGGTTTATTTACTGGCAGCCTAACAGTGTAATAGCAGTCATTAAACCAGGCAGAGAGGAAAAGCTGAATTTTCAAAGCTACTGAGAGTGATAAGCCATTCCCATAGGTAGGAGTCCTCCTGAGCATGGGACCTGCTTAGAGAGTTCCCAACCTCCCAGTTCAGAGTGGGGAAAAAAATGCACCTGAGAGCTGAAGGTTCCCTGCCATGCTCAGGTTATTTTTCTGAGCCCAGGGATGGCAGCAAGTACCTCAGGTCATTAACAGGTAGGTGAGGTCTCCAGCCTTACCCTGCCCTGTTACAAGACAGTCCACTGATGGCCATGGAGAGGTGTGTAAGGTGTGTCCAGCTGTGGATTCACAGGGCCTTGACCCCACACAGCCACAGCACCAGGAGGTGCATCTGCTCTAGGACCCACCACAGGAGAGGCAAAATCTCACTGTCTATCCATAGAGGTGGCTCCTGTCTGGTGTGAGAGATCCCAGTCAGGCATAGCATCGTCTTCTGGAGCATCCCTCCTGCAGCAAGAGGGAGCACTGGCAACAAGCACCGATGTGCCTCCACTCCCCAGGGCTGGGCTGGGGTGGGAATGCTCCAAGTGACTCAGTGACCAATGTGGGTCCCCTCCAACTCAGAACATTCTGTGATTCTGACTCAGGTGTTCTGCTGGGAGAGCGCCCATTGCCTCTCACCTCGCCTTTGGCTTTTGGTCTCTTTGCAGGTGCAAGTTACTTCTTCAGGGGCAAGGAGTACTGGAAGGTGCTGGACAGCGAGCTGGAGGCCCAGCCTGGTTACCCCCAGTCCATTGCCAGGGACTGGCTGGTGTGCAGTGACATGCAGGCCGACTCCCCCGAGGCAGCCGGGAGCGGCAGGACCGGGGCTCGCTCCAGGCCGGGGCAGCACGACCAGAGCCGCTCCGAGAACGGCTACGAGGTCTGCTCCTGCACCTCGGGCACGCCACCCCTGAGGGCCCTGCCCCTGCTCAGACTGACTGCCAGCCTGGGGCTGGCAGCTGTGTGGACAGCAGCCCTATGACAGCTCACCCCACCGGCGGGACAACTCCATGGTGCTGCAGGATACAATTCCATGATGCTCACTGTTGCAAGCAGAAGACAAAAAAAAAAAAAAAAAAAAAAACAAAACACATTCCTAGGAACATGCCAGTGAAGGGTTTGAATTCTCCATGAGAAATGAACAGTGGGTTTTGGTTGATTCTTTTTTTTTATTATTTTTTTATTTTAGTTTTAAGGTCTAATAACAAATTTTGAGTTCTGCACCTTCTTATTCCCCCATCCAGTCAAAGATGAGAGCAGCCCGACGTTGAATTTAGAAATGTTCCATAGAGGTGTGCTGCTCTGGATGTTTGAACACGGCAAACGAGGGAGGGGAGAGCTGCTGGGATGGAGAGGGGACAGAAGAGACGCTGCTGAGAGCAGCGGGAGGAGGTGGTTATGTGCTGACACGGTGTGCACATCCCATTGGATGTGCTGGGCAGAGAGAAACTGTGGCTCTCCTAAGGTTAACTGCAAGGTGATCGTTTCACTGGCACCCCTGCTGTGGTCACTGGTGTCTGGGTAACCTGTATCAGTTTCCATGGGTCAGAAACACCTTTGCCTTTCAGAAGGCAGTGCAGCTTATCTTTGTATCCGAGTCATTGGAATTTACAATTTCTCTAATAAACCTTGGCTGCCTACACGCAGATCTCCCGGTCCCGTGCCAGACCAAGCCTGCCACCTGCAGTGAGGTGCTGGCTGCTCTGAGCAGCCTCACCTCTAGATGAGCAGCAACCTTGCTGAGTGCAGCTACGTGAGATGCAATTACACCCGCTACCCCAGACTGACTCGTGCACACAAAGTCCTGCTCCTGGAATTCCTGTGTCAGGTTGGATTATGTTTTGGGAGGGATCAAGATGTGTTTGCGTTCATTTGTGACTCTGCCATACCTGGCTGTGCTGAAAAGGATGAGCTGGAGGTGGGAGGGGGGCTGCACAGTCAGCCTCAAACTCCTCTTGATGCCTCTGCTGGGAGCTTGGAGCAGGAGAAGCAAGGTCAAGCACTGCATTAGGATGTTCCTCTTTGGGTTTTTTTCCTCTTTGCTAATCAATTTTTCTGCCGTATAATTTGGGCATCTGAGAGTCCTTGAAAGCGGTGAGTGGGAACTTGTGCTAGGAGCTGTGACAGAGCTGTGGCAGAGATGTCAGAGAGGCCAAGGGCCCTTCAGGCTGCTTTTGTCAGGGGGTGCTAAAGGAGTGAAATGGGCAGCAGCTGCTGGGACACACTGTTCTCCTCTGCCCAGCTCCTGTAAAGCTCCTGCAGAAATGTCTCTGGCTGCCCTGCCAGGGACAGCTCCTGGGGGAGACCTGGCAGCAGGCAGTGTCACTGTGGGTCCCAAGGCTGCCCAGAGCCCCTGGTGCCAGCCAGGGCTTTGGCCATGGGGCCAGGAGTAACACAAAGCCCCCTGGGGCACAACGGGAAAGGCAGAAGTGCACAGTTGCCTCCTGAGAGATAAAAAGGGGTCACCTTGAGTTTCCCTCTCTGCTATTTGCATTTTTAAATAGTCCCAAGCATTCACAAGGTGCAGCTATTTTCAGGACGATGTGCTACAGTGTGATTTTATGGGTCATGAGTCAATGGAAACATCCCATTAAACCACTAAATATCCTTTAAGGAAAATACAAACCAAAAATCCTCAGGCATAGCAGCTCCCTCTGCTGAGTAAAGCTGCCTCTGGTGTTCCCATTGCACCGGTCCTGCTCTGCTCTGAGCAGCTCCCCAACCCCACCTCTGCCTGCTGGGCCAAGCAGAGGCTGCCAGAGCTGTGGGAGATGGGCTGTGCCTTCAATTCACACCACTCTTCTTCCTCTCAAGTCATGAAGACACAACTTTCAGTCCTTAAGTCTTAAGGACTGAAGTGGAGTGACTCTGCAAAAATGTCAGCATGTTACAGGTTCCTCTTGGAGATACAGCCACGTAGGGGCACAGCATCCCAAGGAAGACACACTCTCTTTTTTATTCTCTCTTTTTTTTTTTCTTCTTTGTATGTGTGTGGTTTTTTGTTGTTGCTGATGTTGGTTTTGTTTTTTATTTGTTTGGGGGATTTTGTTTGGTTTTGGTGTTGGTTGGTTTTGTTCCTTTGTTTGGGTTTGTTTTTCTGCAAAAGAACCATCCAGAAGCTGCCCATGAGGGATCAGAGGAGGCAGGGATGTGGTTAACACACTTCCATGGCTTCTCCAGCCCAGCCAAGGAGCCTGTTGAGGTGATAAGGACCAGTGGCTCTGCAGCTGAGCTGGTGTGGTCACTAATGTGTCCTCAAGCTAAATTAAGTTTATTTAGTGTGGAGGACTGTGATTTATAAATAAGCCCTTGGAAAGGCTTTCAACGCACCCTTCTCTCCTTCACATTTTGCATTTTGATGATCAGAAATGGAGCAGGAATGGAGGCACTGCTGCTGCTGGACAGCCCTCAGGGAGGATGGAGGAACGCTGCTGTCTCCTGGGGTGCAGCCTGGCTGAAGGTCCTGGGTGTGGGGCTCTCTTTTGCCTCTGGGATGCCTGTTTGGGAGAGGACAAATACCAGAGCTGTTCCAGACTTGCCACCTTGATTTTTTTCCATGCCCTCTGCCAGGTGAGCGCGGTGTACGATGCTGATGCTGCCGTAAGCAGCAAAGCCCAAGGGGTGTTTTGCCCAGGAGAAAGGGTCTTGTCCTGGATCTCTGTGTCCCAGCAGTTCCTGGGAAGGTGGTACTGTGGATTGCTTTACTTGTTTGTCTCTGAAGTTCCTGGGCAAGGGGAGCTGACTGGCCTCGTGGGGCTAGAACAGGCGAGGGGAGGGATGTAGGACAGCCAAAACCAGGGTGTGTGGCTGAGTAATAGTCTATAAGAAGACCAGCTTGGGCTAAGAATAGGAGAGGGTAGGAAAGCTGGATGGTATGCAGAGGATTTCTGTTGGCATGTGCTAGGGCTGTAAATGGGGGAGCTCAGGGGCTGTCTCTGGAGTGTCTGCAGTACAAGTGTCTGCTGACCTTGTAGCACTAACAGAGCTGCTCTAAGAGCTGCCAGGGCAGTTCTCTGTCCTCCACCCAAACTTCTGGTCCCTGATTTTAAAAAAAACCCTCTGGGATTTACGATTCTGTCAGCAGTGAAACCCTGACTCAGCACTAGGTTGCCCAGCTCCAACGGACTTATTGCTCAGTGGTCTGAGGGGGTTGTTTTGTTTTGGTTTTTTTTGGTGTGGTGTTGTTTTGTTTGTTTGTTTGTTTGTGGGGTTTTTTTTTTGGTTGTTTTGTTGTGGTTTTTTTTGGTTGAGTGTTTTTGGTTTGTTTTGGGTTTTTTGTTTATTAAGAGTTTTGAGCTTGACTGCACACCCAAACCAGTCAAGTAAGTTGAGATACACGCCTGACTTTCACTGGGGCAGTGATCCTGTCTGCTATCTTTCAACAAGCCCAGTTTGGCAGGGGCAGAGCTGCACTGGTAACAGGACCACTCTGCTGCAGTGAGGACAGAACGTCACGAGCTTCCCAAGGAACTGTGTCAAGATTTATGGGCTGTGCCGCTCAAGATGTGGCAACTTGTCTTTGGGCTTCATGTGAGGAAACGCAGATCCTGGGCAGAGGCATTCACCATCCCAAATGTGCCAATCCAGGCTGAGCCAATGTGTTGTGCAGCTGGAAACCTTGGGAGCAAGAGGGTTTCTCACTCCAGACCAGGCATGTGGTCTGTTCTTCTCTATCAGAACAAGAGGAGGGTTTGGGGAGAAGAATAAGGGACTTTTGGAATCCTGTTTATATGCAGAGTCCCTCCATTAAATTCCAAAGGGTAGAAATGTTCTGGTTTGCTTCCCACCTCATCTGTACTGCAGAAATAGCCAAGCCAGGAGGGCCTCTGACATATTCTCCCTGTGGACTAAGGCAGGGAGCTTGGTGGCCCGGGGCAACTCGGTGACAATGTCTTCATCCTCTTTCCAGTCTGAGAAAACTGATGGTTACTCTGGATTTGAAGCTGGGTTTGTCTGGGGAATAGAAAATTGTGATGTTGGGCCATCTTCATGTGGCAGTTATCCATCATCAGCTCTCTTAAAGTACCATGGCTATTTCATGTCCTGCAACTCCTCTGTTCCTGGGGACTCGCCCTCCTACTCCAAGATTACTTGGGTGACAACTCAACTGCTCCAGCTCCTGTGTGCCAGCAAGGCAGCAGTGCTGTGGGGTGGATTTGCTTGTTTCCAAAGTTGCCAGGTGATGGAATGGCTGTGGCCAATGAGGGCTGGTTGTGACAGAGCCCTGCTCCTGCCTTGGAGCCTGTCTCTGAGCAGAGCTCACAGGGAGGGGTGCAACTCTTTGCTCCGCTTATTTGCATGGCGGAGCTTGAGCTTATCTGAAATGTCATCGTTCCTAACTGCTCTAATTTCCTCAGCATGTAGAAGCAAAGGGCTCAGTGTTTTACAGCAATTATCTGCTTTCACCCTCCCTTTTTACCACTGCTGTGTTCATCTTCCTTTTTCCTCATCTGCTGCCACCAAGTTCTCCCTTCCCACTGGGAAAATGCACAGGTTGAGCTGGAGTTGGTCTTCTCTTAGTAAAGAAGATCCTGGAGCTCTGCAGGCACCAGTGATTAGAGCTTCTGGTGTCTCTGTATGATGGGTGACCATCACCCATCAGAGGGCAGCATGACCTCAGCCAGGGTCATGTTTGGTCAGTAGTCCAATAGTCTGACCTGGGAATGTGCAGGTGAGAGAAAGCAGATGTGGAATGACCTGGGGACATCTGTGGAAGGGAGATCCGTGTGATGGGATCTGACAGGTGTCTGTGATGCTGCTTTAAAATATCTGTCCAGGTGTGTCTGCTGGGCAGCAGCAGAGTTCCCAGGCAAGGAGACCATGAGGAAAAGTGGAGCAATTTGGCTGGAGCTCTGGATGTTCAAGTGTCTCTTTCTCCTGTGGTGCCCCTGCAAACAAGTGAATTCCTGCTTTTCCCAGCACTGTGCCTCAGGGGGGTGCAGATGTTTTACTTCCCAGGGAGGAGAGAGTATTTCCAGTACTTAGCAGAACGGGGCATGGCATTCCCACACCCAGTCTTCCTCATATTCCCCCTTTTGTCCCAGGGGGATATAAGAGA